AAAAAAAAAAAAAAAAAAAAAAAAAAGATAACCCAATAGAAAAATAAGCAAAAGCAATTACATGATTTACAGAAAAATAAGTATAAATGGCTAATAAAGTATCCAAATGTGTGGGGTGTGATGGTACACACCTATAATCCCATCACTTGAGAGGCTGAGGCAGGAGAATCACTGTGAGGTCAAACCAGCCTGGGTTATATAGCAAGACACTGTCTCAAAAAATAAAATAAAATAAGGCAGATGTGGTGGTGCACACCTGTAATCCCAGCATTAAGAAAGCAAAACCAGGAGAATTGCTGCAAGTTTGAGGCCAGTTTGGGCTACACAGGGAGTTCAAGACCAGCCTGCCCTCTGTCTCAAAAAATTACAAGTAAATAAATAAAATAAAAATTTTCAAATTCACTCATAATGAAATACACACTAAAACAAGGGGCAGAGCCAGGGATATAGCTCAGCAGCACAGCGCCTGCCTGGCAAGCATGAGGTCGTGAGTTCAATTCCCAGTACCAAAAGAAATAAAAAATAAAATAAAACAAGGAGCAACCACTCTCTAAATCAAATTAACCAAGATTAAGACTGACGAAGTGTCGTCCAAAAGGTGAGGAGAAGGGACATCACATGAATGGCAGAGCTCTTGCTACAACTTTTTCTAAACCTGAGAACACCTAACAAAAATTTTAAATGCTCTAATAATTCTATTTCTCGGAATTTGTCTTACAAATATATTAAATTCAGATGAACAAAAACATCTGTAAAGTTATGGTATGAATGCTTGCTCCCGCCAAACCTCCTGTGTTGAAGCCCAGTCCCCAGGACACAGTATCATGCACTGGGATCTTTGGGAGGGGATCAGGTCTTAAGGACTCCGCCCTCCTGAATGGTATTCCTGCCCTGAGGGAAGACTGCACCTCAGGGAGTGTGTTTGCCTTTCCACAAAGGGAATACATAGAATGCAGGTGCTATAAAGCAGAAAGCCCCCAGGAGTTTGTGAATTTGTGGGCATCTTGATTTTGGACTTTCCAGCTCCAGAACTCTGTGCGGTAAATCTCTGCTTATAAATTACCTGGCCTAAGGTATTATATTATAGTGATCCAAATGGACTAAGACAAAGAACATCTACTTTCAACAGTGTATGTAAACCTAAATACCCACCAGTAAAAGATATTTATGTTTAAATATTCATGATCTATTCATACCATAATATATAATGACAGTATATATAATGCTATATCGCCACTACAAAAAATGAAATAGATATTGAAATACTAATATGGGAAGAGATGGAAAATATAGTGTTATATGAAATTAATGAACTATAGACAGGCATGGTGGTGCACCTCTATAATCCCAGCATTCCGGAGGCTGAGGCAGGAGGATCCTTGCAAGTTCAAGGCCAGCCTGGGCTACAAAGTGAGCTCAAGACCAGCCTGAACTACATAGTGAAACCTCATCTCAAAAATACAAAAAGAAAAAGAAAAAAAGAAAAAGAAAGGAAAATAATGAACTATAAAATAATACAGCATGATTCCATTTGTAGCAAGATATATTTCTATATTAACAGAAAATGCCTAAAAGCATTAATGGTATTGTACAGGAAAAAAGGTTGATTTTTTTTGCCTTTTTGAGACAGGGTCTCACTATACAGTTCAGGCTGGTCTTGAACTCACTTTGTAGCCAAGGCTGGTCTCTATTTCACAATGATCCTCCTGCCTCAGCCTCCTGAGTGCTGGGATTACACAGGTATGCACCATGACGCCCAGCAGAAGGTTGATTTTCATTTTTTTAGTTCACACACTTCTATTATCATTGAAGTTTTTTCTCAACCAACAAGTTATATTTATATATAAATTTTAAGCCAGGCATGGTGGCACACCCCGCTAATCCCAGCATTTGGCAGGCTGAGACAGGAGGACTGCTGTGAGCCTGAGGCCAGCCTGGCGAGGCACAGGCCATGGGTACCCATTCTCTGCCACATTCCCAGCACCTGACAGACAGGGTGCAAGCTCACCAAACTACTGTGGAACGCAAAGGCACCGAGTAGGGAGGCTGCATGGTCAGCTGTAAGATTGCAGTGGAGTTTGTAAGACACACTGCTTCCACATTTTAACTAATGTGGAAATACTAGCATTTCAGTGAGTTCATTCTGAAGCTTAGCGGGAACTTGAGGAAGGAAAAGAATCTGAGGAAAGATCCACGCAATACTGAGAAGGAGATGCGGGTTCCAGCAACTAGCTGAAATTTACCACTAGCCTGGGAAGAGTTACAGAACAATGCAGTAGAGGAGTTAAAAGCTCTGACATTAGAGGGCATAGGTTCAAATCCCACTTCCACTTTCCACTACTGTTACATGGGGATGACCGTAACACGATTATTAGAAAGACTTAATGAAACAATGCATGTAAAGTGCATAAGACAATCACCAGCACACAGTAAAAGTTTTTTTAAATGTAAGCAATTATCATAGTTATAATTTAGAGAGAACCACCCAAGAATCAGTCGGCCCCAGCTAGCTGGGAGAAGCTGACTTCCGTGCACCCATTCCCGTTGCCATTCCCCAGCCCCTGTCTGTACAGACTCCCACTCCTTTGCAAAAGTAGGACATCTGACTGTCCTCATCTGTCAGTTTCCCCGAAGCTCGGTGTGCTGGTGCATGCCTGTAGTCTCAGCTGCTAGGAAGGCTGAGGCAGGAGGATCACAAGTGTGAGGCCAGCCTGGCCCATTTAGTGAGACCCTGTCTCAAAATAAAAAGGGTTATGGGTTTAGTTCAATGGTATGATGTTCACCTAGCAAGTACAAGGCCTTAGGTTCAATCAGAAAGAAAAGGAAGAAAAAAGAAAAAAAAAAAAAAAAAGGAAGGGAAGGGGAGAGAAAAAAAAGAAAAGAAATGAAACTCACCACCTAATATGGAAAAGAGTGAATCAAGGGAATGTGGAACTGGGACAAGTCTAATAAACAATGAATAGAGCCACACAGAGTGCTGAAGGACTGTGTCCGGGCTGCGGAAGCTGTTTCTGGCAGGCAAGGTACAGTGTCTATGAGCTACACAGAGCACTAAGAGTTTCAGTTAACACCAGAAACCTTAGTTGCATAAAAGAAAGAAAACTGCACCTAGGGACAGTAGTGCATGCCTGCAATCCCAGCGCAATGGCAGGCTGAGGCAGGAGGATCATAAATTCAAGCGCAGCCTGGGAAACTTAGGGACTTAGACCCTGTCTCAAAATTTAAAAATGGGTTGGGATATAGCTCAGTGGAAAGACCCTGAGTTTAATCCCAAATACCACCAAAAAAAAAAAAAAAAAAAAAGGAAGAAGTAGCACTGGAACCAAGGAAATCTGGACAAGATGAATGGGAAATCAATCTGGAAGGACTACATTTGTGCTGGTGTCTTTAACATAGGTACAGGTATCTTCTCTAAACAGTCACACAAGTATGAGTCATTATGCCATTCATTTATCAAAGAATTATTTACAGAGTGGTTGCTATGTATATACAAGGCATTAAGGTCAAGAGTGTACATAAAACAAATTCACGGCTTTCACAAACTTTTATTCTAGCATCATTCTGCTGGAAGGCAATTGTAATGAAAAGATAAGTGGGTATTACACAGAATTCTGGATAGTTAAACTGTATACAGAAATTGCTGTTGTGGGCTGGGAATATAGCTCAGTGGCATAAGCGCCTTCCTGGCAAGTGCAAGGTCCTGAGTTCAATTCCTGGTACCAAACAAAAAAAAAATTGCTATTTCTAGTCGGCTTCTTTAAGAAAAAATCCTTGGGCCAGGAATACAGC